AAATCTGAATTTCTAGAGCAGGATTCAGGCTCAGGATACATGAGAATGTTTACCCCTGCATGCAGTGTTGTAAAGAGTGTCAGAAATAAAAAGAACCTCTGTGGAGACCATCTGGTACCCTCTATTATCAATGGAACTGCTTTTCCAGGTTAAACTGTAGAACTTTTTCAGTGACTGATGGGAAAAAAAGGCACTGTCTTGTCCTGAGCAATGAGGTTCATCTTCGGTAAATCAAGGCTTCAAAATGAAATTGGATAATTTGTCCAATTCTCTCCAGTTCTTTCCTTCTTTGTTATCTCCTTGCTTTTTTCTGTCTGTTGAGTGGTTTAATATACAGTAGGTAGAAACACATAGCCTGGAACATTCCAAGTGGGCAGTGAGGGTGAGCCACTGGAAAAAATTCTCTCCTCAGGAGCCTTCACTGCTAACCAGATGCCAAAGGTCTGGTCTCCCCTGTGGGTCTCCAAGTGATCCAGAAGCCTTAGTTCCTGGACCTTGACTTCACTGCACAAGGGCCACTCCCACTCCCTGACAGACTAGAAGGAAACACCTGAGCCATGTATTAGCTGGAGATCTGTGCAGCACCAACCAGTGCTTGACTCTGCCCCTGCCGGTTACTAGCTGTACTGAAAGAAACTCGTAGCCAGGAATGACATCCACATTCCCTTCTAGTAAATTATTAAAAGCATAGAGGCATATACCACTTTCAAAATATTTCTATCTCACATTAAAAAAATTGTCGTCCAGGGGAGCTATGTCATGTCTGAGATACCTTAACACCTCCCTTGTGTGCCTGTCAAGGAAGCCTAGAGTAGTATGTCACCAGAGAATGAACAGTAAGCAAGTACCTGTGGGTGATGACTAACCTTATTTGAGGAGAATGACCCTAAACAGAGTGCATCCAAGTGAAGGACTTTTCTGAGGATTCAGGGGCTGGTGTGTTTGAGCAGGGACTTGTTGCAAGAGCCTCAGTTCTCCCGTAAAGTGAGGATGATGATGTCCACCAGTTTATGGCACCTTTGTAGCATCCAATGAGGTGATGCATGCTAAGAGCTTGACACTGGGCCTGGCTTTCAGTTCAGGGCTCAATAAATGCATCTTTTCCTTGTTTCTCTAGCAGAGGTTCCAGCAAGCTTCATTCTGAAGTATTACTTTCTTTTCCTGACAACAGGGAGGAAAACAGAAACACAGGACACACGATGGGACTCGGCTTCCACAGGTCACCCCTGTTCAATCAGGATTCACTCAAACAGCAGAGCCTTAGCTGCCTGCAGGGAGTGGGGTGAGACGGGCAAGACTGGAGTCATCTGTAGAGAGTTTAAAATGGTTCAAGTCATAGGGTTCCCGCGCCTTCTACTGGTTCTTCAGACCAGATGGTGTAAATTAGTGTTACAAGAAGGATTTTGCTGTATGTTGTTACAAATGTGCTATTATGTTAATGCTATTTAAGTATACATATTTTTGTTGGGATTTGTATGTAAATATACATTTCCTTTTTAAATAAAAAAGAAAATTTAATACTCTTAAAGAATGCAATGTGCATTTAAAAAAAATGTTTAGGAGCCGGGGCCGTGCGTTCTGGGCTTGGAGCAGCCGCGTGGCCGCGTCTTCCGGGTTGGGCCGCGGCGAGTCGCCGAGCGCAGAGCCGCGCCGCCTCCTCATTCATTCCCGTGCACCATAAACGGCACAGGCGTCAAGATGTCCAACCGAGTGGTCTGCCGGGAAGCCGGTCACGCCGGGAGCTGGTACACGGCCTCAGGACCGCAGCTGAATGCACAGCTGAAAGGTTGGCTTTCACAAGTGCAGTCTACAAAAAAACCTGCTAGAGCCATTATTGCACCCCATGCAGGATATACATACTGTGGGTCTTGAGCTGCGCATGCTTACAAACAAGTAGACCCGTCTATTACCCGGAGAATTTTCATCCTTGGGCCCTCTCATCATGTGCCCCTCTCTCGCTGTGCACTTTCCAGCGTGGATATTTACAGGACACCTCTATATGACCTTCGTATTGACCAAAAGATTTACGGAGAACTATGGAAGACAGGAATGTTTGAACGCATGTCTCTGCAGACAGATGAAGATGAACACGGTATTGAAATGCATGTGCCTTATACTGCTAAAGCCATGGAAAGCCATAAGGATGAGTTTACCATTATTCCTGTACTGGTTGGAGCTCTGAGTGAGTCAAAAGAACAGGAGTTCGGAAAACTCTTCAGTAAATATCTAGCGGATCCTAGTAATCTCTTTGTGGTTTCCTCTGATTTCTGCCACTGGGGTCAAAGTTTCCGTTACAGTTACTATGATGAATCCCAGGGGGAGATTTATAGATCCATTGAACATCTAGATAAAATGGGTATGAGTATTATAGAACAATTAGAACCTGTATCTTTTAGCAATTACTTGAAGAAATACCATAATACTATATGTGGCAGACAGCCCATTGGGGTGTTAGTAAATGCTATCACAGAGCTCCAGAAGAATGGAATGAATATGAGCTTTTCCTTTTTGAATCATGCCCAATCAAGCCAGTGTAGAAACTGGCAAGACAGTTCAGTGAATTATGCGGCGGAAGCACTCACGGTCCACTGAAGCTCGAATCCTCAGGGATGCCACCTGACACTCTCATACTCTATCTGGGGTCCCAGCCTAGCCTTTACCAGACACTGGTCCTGGTTTGGGGGGGGATTCTGAAACCTCAAACTAATAGAACTTTCTTCTCTTCTTTTCTAGTAGGTGTAGTCCTTCCTTAATTTCAACTCATTAAAAAATGCTTTATGGTTTAGGGTAGTGGAAGGAAGGCTGGCTCAAAATATTTTGGTCAAAAAAAGATGACAGTGTAAAGCCCAGTTGTGGCAGGTCGCTTTTTGAAAGTAACTTTTAAACCATTTACCATATCCTAAATTTGCACTCTTTGCAGACTTGAGCACATATATTCTGCTTTCAGAATAGTTTTGCCAAATTGTACACAACAAACAAAAAAGGTGGAAGCTTTTTAATAAAGAAATTCCATTTATAAATGATCTATATTAGAATATAATAAATCTCCAGTTATAGTCAATGACTACCCGTGTTGTACAACAGATACTTTCTATTTTAGTTGCTAATAAAGGGCTACACAACTAAAAAAAAAAAAAAAAAGTTTAACATGATCTAAAGTTCCAAAACAAATGAGATATTTCAAACTGATTTGATAGATAATGAGTAATAATTGCTGCTTTATAAAAGTATATTGAGAATAATACAATTTTAGTATTGGAATGAAGTATTACAATCCTTTTTAAACTATTGGCTTTATTATTTTATGACACTTTTATAGTCAAAGCAAAAAGGAGCACAAAGTACAGAATTCCCAAAAGGAGGTAAAGACTCCCCAAACCTGAAATTTATTTATTAAAAATTGTGCATTTATTCTTATATGTTTATACTTCAGTGTTCTCCATTGGATGCAATACACCTATTAAGATGCTTTTTACACTGTTCAGAACAGTTTTTGAACTCCTCAATTTTGATGCCTTTTAGTGTTTCTGTCAATTTTTTTTCTCCTCTTCCATATCAGCAAAATATTTCTTTCCCTTTGAGGGCAAAAGTCATTTGGGTGAGATTGGGGAAATAGGGAGAGTGGGGTATGAAAGCCATGTGGTTTTGGTCAAAAACTGCTGAACACTGACCACAATGTGGAGGGTGTGCCCCTTTGTAATACAGACTTCCTCCTCTAGGTAAGTTGTTCTAGGAATTCATCTGCTTCAGTGTAGCAACTAGTACTTTCATGATACAAATGGAGTGACCACAGCATCCCCAGTGCTACTTCTTTCATATCTTAGTTTTTTATATGATTAGTAGCCAGCTAATATTGACATTCCTGTAATTTTCATTTCAGTGGTGACAAACTGATGATGATTTCTATGTGCTGTGCAGTCAACACTACTTACTACCACGTGCCAGACTCCTTGCTCAGCGATGGGACCACAGGGTGACAGAGACAAAGTCCCTGTATAGTAAGAGACAATGTCTGTCTTACAGATGAGCCTGTCAAGAAAAATAATTATTACACTGGGCATGGTGTCTCATGCCTGTAATGCCAGCATTTTGGGAGGCAGAGGTGAGAGAATTGCCTGAGCCCAGGGATTCGAGATCAACCTGGACAATAATATTTTTTTCCCTATGGAATTCAGAACAACATTCTCAATGCAAAATATTTCAATATTACAGAGCAGCCATCTGCCTGATCTTCCCCTTCTACCCAGACTCTTCTCTGAGAGTTGCTTTTTAAAAAAAAATTTATTATTAAGATATGGGGTACAATTCAGGGTTAGGTATATAAACATTGATCATGCAGGTACCCTTGTTGATGAGGTATGCCTCTCCCTCCCCTAGCAGTTTCCTTCAACTGCCAATCCCATCCCCCCCCCGACAGTTTCCCACTACTGCCAATCACTTTCTTGTAGTATTATGATTGTTCAAGGTCTACTTATGAATGAGAACATATGGAACTCTGCTCTTTGTTTCTGTGATAGATGACTGAGCATGATCGACTCCAAATCCATCCAAGTTGCTGCGAAGTCCATATATTTGCCCTTCTTTATGGCTGCATAATATTTCATTGTGTACATGCACTACATTTTTTAAATCCAGTCCAGCTTCGATGGGCAACATGACTGGTTCCATGTTTTTGCTATTGTGGACAGAGCTGCAGTGAACATACATGTGCAGGTATCTTTTTTGTAGAATATTTTGAATTCCTCTGGGTATATTCCCAATAGGGGAATTGCTGGGTCATATAGAAGGTCAATTTCTAGTTCTTTCAGAAATGCAACACTGTCTTCCAAAGAGGTTGTATTAGTTTGCATTCCCACCAGCAGTATAGAACTGTTCCTTTTTCTCCACATCCTTTCCAGCATCTGTTGTTGTTTATTTTATTAACGATGGCCATTCTTACAGGGGTTAGGTGGTATCTCAATGTGGTTTTAATTTGCAATTCTCTGATAATGAGTGAGGCTGAGCACCTTTTCACGTGTCTGTTGGCTGCCCGTATCTCTTCTTTTGAGAAGTGTCTATTCATGTCTTTTGTTCACTTTTTAAAGGGACTGTTTGTTTTTTTTCCTTTCAGCGCATTTTAGTTCCTTGTAGATCTAGATGTTAGGCCTTTGTCAGATATACAGTTGGCAAATATATTTTTTCCCATTCTGTGGGCTGTCTCCCTGCTCTCTTCTTTTGCTTTGCAGAAACTCGTTAATTTGATGAGGTCCCACATGTCTATCTTATTTCTTAAGGTATTGGCCTTTAGGGTTATGAATAGGAATTGGTTCCCAGTTCCAATTTTCATAAAGATGTCTCCTGCATTTTCTAAGATTCTTATAGTTTGAGGTTTTATGTTTAGGTCTTTGATACATTTAGAGTTAATTTCTGAGGATGGTTACAGGTAGGGGTCCTGTTTCAATCTTCTGCATGTGGTCAGCCAATTTTCCCAGCACCCTTTACTAAATAGGTTCTCCTCTCCCCAGTGGTTGTTGTTGGAGGCTTTGTCAAAGATGAGTTGGTTGAGGAATTGAGGCTTTGCTTCCTGAATCTCTATCCTGTTCCATTGTTCTATGTGCCTGTTCTTGGACCAATATCAGGATTTTTTGATTACTGTAGCCTTATGGTAAAATTTGAAGTCTGGAAGTGTGAAACCTCCTGCTTTGTTTCTTTTGCTAAGGATTGTTTGGCTATTTGTGGTCATTTATGTTTCTATATGAATTTCTGTATTGTCATTTCCAGGTCTGAGAAGAATGATGTTGGTAACTTAAATGGTATTGTGTTGAATCTGTAGATTGCCTTTGGTAGGATGGACATCTCAAGAATGTTGATTCTTCCTATCCATGAGCATGGGATATTTTTCCATTTGTTTGTGTCTTCTTGGATTTCTTTGAGCAGTGTTTTGTAATTCTTTTTTTTTTTGAGTTGGAGTCTCACTCAGTTGCCCAGACTGGAATGCAGTGGCCGCTCCTGGCCACCGCAGCCTCAACCTGCTGGGCTCCGGCGATCCTTCCGCCTCAGCCTTCCAAGTAGCCGGAATTACAGGCATGCACTACCACGCCCGGCTGATTTTTTGATTTATTGTAGAGATGAGGTCTCCCTGCCCAGGTGGGTCTTGAACCCATGGGCTTGGGCAATCCACTCACCTCAGCCTCCCAAAGGTGTAGGATTACAGGCTGAGCCACTGAACCCAGCTTGTAATTCTTATTGTAAAGGTCTTTCACTTCTCTGGTTAGGGAGATGCCAAGGTATTTTATTTTTTTGGTACCTATTGTGAATGGGATTGTGCTTTTTATTTGGGTCTCTGCCTGCTTGTTGTTGGTGTATAGGAATGCAAACATCTTTTGCACATTTATTTTGTACCCTGAGATTTTATCGAAGTCCTTTATCAGTGCAAGCAGGTTTTTGACAGATTCTCTTGGATTTCCAAGATATAGGATCATATCATGAGCAAAGAGGGTTAAATTGACTTCCTCTTTTCCTATTTGAATACCCCTGATTTCCTTGTCTAATTGCCTGAGCTAGAACTTCCAACACAATATTGAACAAGAGGGGTGACAGTGGGCAGCCTTCTCTTGTTCCAGTTTTCAGGGGAAATGTTTCCAGTTTCCGTCCATTTAGCATATGTTAGCTGTGGGTTTGTTGTAGATGGTACTTACTATTTTGAGGTATGTTCCTTCTATACCTAGTTTGAGGGTTTTTATCAAGAAGGGATGGTGGATTTTATCAAAAGCTTTTTCTGCATCCAATGAGATAATTATGTGATTCTTGTTTTCACATCTGTTGATGTATTAAATGACATTTATGGTCTTGTGAATGTTGAACTCGCCCTGCATCCTGGGGATGAAGTCTACTTGGTCATGGTGGGTGATTTTTGAGACTTATTTTTGGATCTGATTTGCTAGAATCTTGTAGAGGATTTTTGCATCTATGTTCATAAGGGATATTGGCCTGTAGTTCTCTTTTTTTGTTGGATCTTTACACGGTTTGGGTATCAGTGTAATTTTAGCTTCATAAAATGATTTGGGGAGAATTCCATTTTTCTCAATTGCCTGTAATACTTTCAATAGGATTGGTATCAACTCCTCCTTGTATGTTTTGTAGAATTCTGCTGGAAAGCCATTGGGTCCAGGGTGTTTTTTTGTAGGTAGTTTTCATATGACAGAGTCAATTTCCTGCATTGTTATTGGTCTATTTAGTGTCTCAATGTCTTCTTGTTTTAACCTGGGGAGGTTGTGTGATATCAGAAAGTCCTCTATTTCATCTAGGTTATCAAGTTTGTTTCCATATAGATGTACATGGTAATCTCTGATAATCTTTTGTATTTCTTCAGGGGAGGGTTGCTTTTGATGCATGTCATTCCATACTTTTCTCCGACTCTCTATACATCTCCAAGTGCACCAAGAGATATCCAAGTTTATCTTTTTTTTATAGAAATAGAATAATGTCTTACTGTGACATTGATCATCTCTCTTGTTCTCACTTGAGTGCAGATTTTAAAGATTTGTTCTCATTCTTATTAGTTGGCATAAAATAGTTCAATTAATGGACAGTTCACAGTTTAACTTTTATAAACATAGCTTCTTAGATTATTATGCTATTACCAACCTTATGATAAAGATTCTTATACACATAAAG